GTTATTTTAGTATTACTGTATTTAAAATATTGTGTATCATTTGTGACCAATGAAATTGCTTCTCTCCATAAATGCACGCCCTCCATAAATGCACACTGTCCCTTGGTCCCAAGGGGGGTGCATTTATGGAAGTCTGACTGTATTTTAAATATTTTGGGGTGATTTTCATCAGTTGATCAGTCAGATGGCCAATCACAGCTGCGGAAGTAATTAATTGGGGATCTCAAAAAAGGCCTAAATGTAAAAATGCGCGCATATGAAAAAAAAATCATTCATGTCTGTCCTACCAAAAAAAAAACCAATAGGATAAATAATTAATGTGTATGCATTGATCAAATAACAAACTTCTTTTATTTTTTCTTTAAAAAAAAAATGTATGTTGTCGATGACAAAAAAAGAAAAAGAAGCAAACAAACCAATTGTGAAGAATTTGTTGGGTAAGTGTTTTTAAGGATGGTGGTGTTTATTATAAAATGGTGGTTGTTACAATCACCGCAACTCATCACTCTAGTTTATTTTAAAATTCCAAGCAAATTACAGTTAGATGAAGATAAATACGAAGATGATGACAATGATAAAAATGAAGATGAAGATGAAATTGATGAAAAAGATGATTTAGGTAATGATAAAGATGCTAGAAAAAATGTAATGGTAAATAACTATTGTGAAGGCAAAAGCAAAATTGATTATGATAAAAATATGATAAAATTTAATGTAGGTGAGAGTGATGATGTTAAAATTATGTTATCATCTGACTATGAAAAATTTCATGAAAATTATAAAAAAATGGATAATACCACAAAATGGGCTCTTGACTCTGGAACCATAGTAGAAGATGCACTCTAGAAATTTGGCTTGCAATGCAATTATGAGTGGTGAGTTTTTATTTACTTGTTTGTATAATGCATTAATTAATATTAAAATGATGACATCTCATATTTTTTAAAGTCTTAGTCATTCATTTGTTGTGGATCCAGAAGATAAAACTTATATTATGGATAAAGACTAGTGCCGTAATCCAAAAAAGGAAAAAGTATGGTTGCAAAAGTGGTTGCAAAGGTAATTGCAACCACTTTTTATATGCCGTAAATACAATTACTACCATCATCATAATTTACGGCACTAGTCTTTAATTACAGAGAATATTTTTACAAAAAGTGAGCTTGATGAGATAAAAAATTATCAATCAAAACCACTACCTGAAATGCCAATTTCATTATTGAAATATATTAATGGTTTTTGTGTGGTATATTTTTTTATTCTACTTCCATGATTTATCTGCATTGTTGATGACATGCATTTAACATTTTATTATTATATAGGAAACCACATTGGAACTGAGGAAAAAGATATTCAAGCATGATGAAATGGATGATAACTTCAACAGGAATATAGATTTTGACAAAGATTGGATTCGCAATACAATGTATAATTTGTATGTAAATCTACAAAGACTCTATTTTTGATTCAAAATTTAAAAATAAAAATTTGAGATTTTAAGTATATATTTACAGGTTATTAGAATACGAAGCAGATAATTTAACTAAAAGTCACTTAGAACTTTGGTTTCTAGTTCATGTTTGGAATTTCATTGATAAGACATTTAATAATATAGAAGGCGTTGAAGCAGTTAGGTAAGAAAAAGTTTATCATTTAAAAGTTATATCCTCTCAATTTTAATTAATTTAATTCTCCCTAATAAAAGAGGGGAATCATCAAGCATATCATCATCTGCCAGGAAAAATAGAGATAGGTGTGTTGCTTCAACAAACAAATTATTGAAGAAACTTATGGGTAGAAGAGGAGATTTGATTATAAGAAGAGTTTCTTCAGAATTTGGCTGTGCTGAAGCAGGGAAAACATATGAAGGAGAAAATTGTTGAAAGACATGTTCATTGATCTGACTAAATTAATTGATGGAGACAAGAGTAAAATTAAGAAAATGCAAACAATTGGTTTTTTACATTCCAGTATGTGATTAACTTTTATAGCAATATTGTAAAGATGTTTCTTTAACTTTTATTATAATAAATTATTTTAGGTCTAGTGACAATGCTTCTTTGTTTAGATTCTCTAGCTGGATACATTTGTCGTATATCTAGAAGCAGAACATTGAATTTTCCAAGAAGCATCAAAGAATTTGGTAACAATACATTACCCATTATAATTTTAGCATGGAAAGCCAAGGTAATGTAGTACTTTTCATTTTATTACTTGTAGTTTGTAATCCTTATGTTAGTTTAACAAAGTTTTCTTTTGTAGAAAATAGTTTTAGACATGATAAATCTTATAGAAAAAAAAGAAACTGAAATTGAAGAAGAGCAATTAAAAAATTTGCAAGAATCTTGTGAAGCATTACCAGTAATATCTTTAAAAGGAAAATAATTCTACCAACAAATTTAGACACACCTAAAAAAAGCAGGGTTGGCAAATGTGCAGTCCATTGATGGTCTATTGGTGGTCCATTGGTGTAACACTTTGACCATATTTAGTATTCTATTAATTGCAATGGACCAGTCCAAAATCCATCTGTTCTCGATGGACCAGTCAATTTGCCAACCCTGAAAAAAAGACAAAGAAAGAATATATTTGGTATGATTATCAAAATATTTCCACCACTTCTTTTGATATGAAATAGGATAAACTTATTTTTCATTTTATTTTTATTAGATAAAGACACTTTGAATTCAGTTAGAAAATCAAGTGAATCATTTAGAAAGAAATTATTATTACTTCATAAAGAAAATTCGAAAGAAACCCATTAGAAGGTCACCACTGTAATTTATTTGACATAATTAATAAGATATTGAAAAAATCAATTATGCTTGGTGGACACTGTATGCGTGGACATGTTGTATTTTAAATGGTTTACATGTAAAAATAAATATTTTTATGCAGAGATAATCATACATTGGTAGTACAGTTGTGATGTTAAAATTTTTGATTCTGGTAATACCAATGTTCACTTTGTCTGGTTTTGTTGCAGTATGCCCCATTTTATCATTTATAATTATTATTATTATGTTGGACAATTTTATTATTATTGTTGTTAATATTATTAAAAAAAAAAATTATTAATTAAATAAAAAAAGTTATATTTAAAAGTATCACGTGCTGATCATCAATTACCTTGGTTACGGAATACCTCGTTATAACGGATCATTGAGGCCAAACTGGTGTGTTCGTTATAACGAGGTTTGACTGTACAAAAATTAAACGTCAGTATTTTTAAGTTCTAACTCCTTACTGAATAAGAGTTTAAAAGAGTAATCAACTAACACTAATTATTGGTAGGATAATTAATAAAATCATACATTGTAGTTTGTTTCATTCTATT